TGTGAGGGGGGGTAGGGTGGGGAGAGGAGGGTGCACTGGTTCTGAATATACTTGCCCTTCAGTTTGCTGATTGGCACTGGGACAGTCCACCAAGAGAGAAAGCGAGGAAAACAAAAACACAAACACAAAAACAAACGAAAAGGGGGAGGGGAAGGGGAGGGGCACAAACAATATTTTATTCAATGGCTGTTTGAATGAAAATATTGTGTCTCATCATCATACCGAAAGGAAACTTCTTGCAAAAAACGACATGAGAGAGAAAGAGAGAGCAAGAAACTCAAAGGAGATGAGCCCCAGTCGGCCAGGCAGGTGGGGGGGCGCCCGGTGGGGCCGGAGCCCCAGCCTCCCTCCCAGTGACCTCTGGCAGTGGGCAGGCAGGGCCAGGCCTGAGATCCAGGCCTTTCCAGAGAGGCCCATTGTGAGCAAGCATGCAGGGTGGGCCACAGGCAGAGTAGGAAAGCTGGAGGAGGGGGTGAGGAAAAAGGGAGGGAGGGAGAGAGAGAGAGAGAGGAAGGATGAAGTGGTGAAGAGAGGAGAGCTAAGGGAAGAGAGGAGAAGGATCTAGACTAGGAATGAGGGAAAGAAAGAAAGGAGGTTAAGACAGGGAGGGAGGGAGAATAAAGGAAGAGTGGGAAGGGAGGGGCTCTGGGGTGGCAAGAGAGGGGAAGATGGAGGGAAAGAGAGAGAAATAGAGGGACTAAGCAGAAGGGAGAGGCAAGAGAGGGGAGAAGGTAGAAGTGGAAGGAGGAGGTGGAGGGGGAAGAGAAGAAAGGGGGGGAGTGAGGGCATATGACCTGAGGGAGGAGGGAGCAGAAGAGGAGCAGAGGACAGAGACCCTGGGACTGGGAGGTGGCACCACAGGGTAAGAGAGCTGAGCAGGGAGTAACAGAAGAAGGAGAGCAGAAGGAAGGGGAGGGGGGTGTCTTCCAAGAATGTAGCCCCCAGGGGTGTTCAGGGCAGGCAGGCTAAGGAGGGAAGACACAGGATAAGAAAACCAAAAACAGAAACCTCAACAGAAACCATGAGAAAATGGTCTAAAACCAAATCTGAGAAAAGGCGAGCATGCAGATTTCCACAGACTTTCAAATGCTGGTTGCCCAGCCTGCGGGTGCGCCTGGGGCTGGGCAGACTGGGTAGAAGGGGCTGCCTTGCTGGCAAGCGCAGCTGGCTATGCTGCCTGGGGCTGGCCAAGGGTGCAGGGGCAGAGGCAGGGGTGCAGGGCGCAGGCAGGGGCCAGGCCACTTACACTTGACCTGCAGGATCTGGTCGCTGAGGTTGGCTTGGAGGTAGAAGGTGCTGTAGGGTGGGAGCACCAGCCCCAGGCTGGGGGTGGGGGAGGGAAGAGCACAGGTCACTGCTGAGGTAAGGTGGGCCACACTAACACCCCCACCCCAGGGCCTTGGTGCCAGAGGGGCCCAAGCTGTGGCAGCCACTCCTCCCCTGCAAAGTGTGGAACATTCATAGATAGCATAGGGGTCAGCATTGTGGAGACACCAGGGGCCAGATCCCTCTCCTTCTCCAAACATCCTGGATGCCTCCAAACTACCAGCCCCAAAGTAACTCCCCATACCACCACCCAATCAGCACCCACCTGTCCCACCATCTCCTGACCAACAGCAAGCTTGCAAGGGGTAGAGCATGGCTAGTGAACTAGCTGTAGGAATGGGTATGCTAGATCAGCACAGGCCACAGATATGTGTGCCCTATGAGAGCCAGTGATGAGTAGGGTCACATGACTGCCATATAAGGCAGTATGGGCCAGTCCTGGGGTATGACACTGCTCCTGGCATTTCAGAATGGACCATGGAACAGCTGTGTGCAGCACACAGAAGACAACCTATGCTGATTGTGCCTAACCCACAGGGGCTGGGCTCTGAGGTAGTGATGCTGGTTGAGAGCAGTCAGTGAGCGTGCTGAGATGATCTCCTGTGCAGATACTTAGGAGACCCTTCAGGTGGTGGTGGTGTTGGTGGTGGTGGTGGGGAACGTCAGATGCATTGTCCTGTCCTTAGTCCTGCACTTTCAGGACCTGGTGTTTGTTCCACAGGGGCCAGGGGAGGCCCTGGGAGACCAAATGTCTCAGGGTAAATAGGGAAGAGTGGTGGGAGGATGGTAGCCACAGCAGACTGAGGGTGTGAGAGGGGAAGGCAGCTGGATTCAGACTCTGGTGCCATTTTACCCCTCCTTGGCTGCCCTGCCCTGCCCCACTCACCTGTAGTTGGTGCTCCTTATAGGCACCCAGGTGTAGTTCCGAATCACCTCATCTATGTACCTCTGGGAGAGGAGGCTGCGTCAGGTACTTGGGTGAACAGACTGGGGTGGGTGGGGGTGGGTACCCATCCTGATTCCCTGTTCCCCTTCCTGTGCCTTCTTACCTCATCCAGGGACTTGACCAATGTTCTGATCTGCTTGTGGCCCTTGTTGCCATCAATCATGCTCCGACGGATCTGCAAGGGCCAGAGGTATGACCTTCTGGCTCTCTGTACTACCTTCCCCATCTATCCTCTTTGCCTTCATCTTACCTCCTCCTTGTTCTCATCCTCCAGCTCTGCATCCAGGAAGTCCAGAGTCACAGGCTCCCGGAAGTTGGTGGTCTGCAGGAAACCCAAGTAGGAAATCAGGGGACCCCATTTTTGGAGGGATTACCTGCCCTCCAGGCCACTCACCTGGCTCACCTGGGGCTTGAGATTGGGATGCAGCAACACATAGCCGTTCAGGTCAATGGCGAATACATAGCCATTGGCGCCAAGCTGTGGGGTACAGATTAGGGGCTCAGGGTCCAGAGGGCTGGCCAGGGATTCCTTAGACTGAGTTCCTCCCCGTTCTGCTTCCTACTCTTCTAAAGGTACTGTTTGCCAAAGGCCTTCTTTTACCTCGTGGCCCTAAGCCTGTCTCTGAAGCCAGGTCTTAGGGATGAGTGCCCTCAAGCACCAGCGCTCACCAAGGCTGACTAGCTTTGTAGGCAGGCGTGCACTCCCCATGGAGGTGTCAGCCAGCCCTACCTATGCATCTGCATGAGGCCAACAAGGCTGATGCTTTTGTGCCACTTTTGCCCTCTTGTACCAATTTGCTTTCTGCATTGTGCTTCCTTGTCTCCATTTCAGTGGAGCACAGGAGGGAGATGTCCTTCCTGCAGTCCTGGTGGAAGGAAAGTAGGATGGAGTAGGACCCTACATCCAGCCTTTGCCTCTGATAGTTTTCTCACTGTACATGGAGCTTCTCAGGGCCAAGAAGGAGCTTCATATGACTCAGGCTTAAAGTTACTTTCACACATTTCCCATTTCCCCTTGCTTTCACAGCCGAGACCCAAGTTCTCTAAGCACAGACCCTAGACAGACACACTGCCAATTCTGTTCCTTCCCTTATTCTAGATTCTGTTTTTCCACTTTCAGGCCTTTGCTTGAAAGAGTTCTCTCTGCCTCCCACAGTCAGTCCCCTTCCCCAATTCTCTGCCCAGGTCACTCATGTGCAGGGCCAAATCTGGTCTGCCACCTCTTGTTGTAATTTGGCTGTACGCCACAAATCATTTCTATACTTTATTTTATTATTTTATTTTATTTTATTTTTGAGACAGGGTCTCCCTGTAGCCTCAGCTGGCCTGGAACTCACTATGTAGACTAGACTGGCCTCCATCTCACAGAGATCTGCCTGCCTCTGCTTCCTGAATGCTGGAAGTAAAGGTGTGTACCACCACACCTGGCTTTCGTTTCTACATTTTTAAACTGGAAAAAAAAATCAAAAGAATTCTATTTTATAATTTGAAAATAATCTGAAATTCAAATATCAGTATCTACAAATAAAACTATACAGGCCATAGCTATGCCTGTGTGTTTATGTTTTTTCTGTGGCTGCTTTCACAGTACAATATCAGAGTAGGAAATGAGCATTTAGGTTAACAAGCCTGAAATGGTCAGAGTCTGGTCCTTCACAGGAGGTTTTGCTGATTCCAGCTTTGGGCCAGGATCACCCTCTTGGAAAGTCTTCCTCAACTCCCTGAACTCAGAGGCCCCTGTGAATGTCCTTCAATTCCTATATCTCCTCTGCTGAGCCTGGCTTGTATTGCTGTGGAAAGCATAGCAGGATATCTGGGCAGGTGTACACTCACTGTGTAGTTGGGAGTCAGCCTTTTGATGTCATTCAGAGCCACGTCGATGCCCATCACACCTAGGATTAGCTGGTTCTGGGAGCAGAGGCATGGGGGGTGCACTATAATGAGTTAAGTCCATGGCAGAAACCCCCTGTCCAGGCCTCATACTCAAGACCTCAAGCTGCTCTCACAGATAGCTGGCCTTCCCAGTTTGTAGGGTGCCCTATCTGTCTTCCATCCCCAGACATGTTATAGGTATGCCAAGCCCTCCCCAGGTATGCCCAACCCTACCCTAATGGGCCACTCACCTTCTTTTCCCCAGGTCCATCCTGTGTCAGGTTGAAAACCGGGAGAGTCCCTGTTACCACCAACCCCAGCCCCTGAAGGGAGAGGAGGAGGATGGGGTCTCCTGTGGTCAGTCCTGTCCCCTCTCTGAGTGTTCATAGGCCATCTATCATTTTCCTCTGTTTGGAAGGCTGCCCCTCTCCCCGCCCCACCGCCCAGAGGCCTTACCAGGGCATCCTCATACACGTTTGTCCATTGCACCTGCTTGGCATCCTTGCCAGCCAGCACCATGGGCCTGCCCAACACATCTAGATATTCCTGGAGGGTGGGAGGGAGGGTACTGAGTGTCCCTTTCAACTCACTTTCTTCTGTTCCCCGTGCTTTTGTGCTGCGGGACTTTGCCATTTAGCCACAAGGGGGCGCTTGTGGCCTACAGTAGTGGAAGGTGCACAGCACCCAGATGGAAGCCAGTGGCTGGGAGGGGCAGCCATCTAGACAGCCTCACCTGCGTGTTGATGCGGATGGCTCCAATGGAAGGAATCTCAAAATAGTAACCTGTGAAGAGAGGAGAGGTGGGTCTGGCTGGCGCTGCGGGACCCAGGACATGGGGGGTACTGCCCCCTGGGGTATATCTGCATCCCTGACTTGTCCCTCAAACTCCCTCTGTGTTTATTGTCACTTTCCCAAACTCATATCCCTTTGTGCTCCCTGCCATTGCCCTGTCACTGGGACTAATGTTATATAAAGAGGAAGGAGTGTAGGGGTCTAAGGAAGAAGCAGGGGTGGGAGTGGTGGATAGAGGTGTGGTGGAGGAAGAAGCCTCATTCTAGGAAAGCAGTGACATTCAGAGTCTACCCAAGTGCACAGAGAGATGGACTGATAGGCAAACAGACATAGGAGCAGACAAGCTTGGACAGTGAACATTCAGCCAGATGGGCATGAAGATGCTCTATCAGCTGGACAAGTAAGACAGTCCACTGGATAGACACAGCAATGGACCAGCCATATGTATGGAAATATGAACAGACAGTGGATGAACAAATAGTGGACATATGGATGGGCAGTGGGCAGCAGGACATGGCAGGGAGATCCCTTGGTGGTGACAGCCAATGAGGTACCTTTGTTAGTGCAGGCCATCCACTGCAGGGGTGTGACATCATAGTTATGCTGCCCTACAGAGAACGTGAACACACGCACCTGTGGGAGCACCAAGGTTATTGCTGTGGCTACTTGAGGACACCCTCCCCTGTCCTGGGCTCAGATCAGGAAAGCCTTTCCACATTGTCTACAACCTGGGCTGAGACTCACCGTCCGATTGGGCCAATTGTATTTTTCAAAGACATCCTGTACACGATCTTCGCCACCATCCGTGAACATCATAATCATCTTATTACAGTTGGCCCGGGTGATGTTGGACTAGGCAGGGGTGAACATAAGAGTCAGGCAGTTCTCTGGCCCTTCCTAGTCCAGGGTAGGGCCTCTCTCCCAGGGTAAGCTTGGCCCTCTGGCCCTCCTCCCCCACAGCAGATGGTGCTATTTGTCTAAGCTGCCTGTTTAGTGTTAACAAGGACATCCATCTTTATTTCCCCGTGTCACTAAACCTGGGTCCTTGCCATCCCGGCCACCCATTTGCCCAGCCATGGGGCTCACATTCTGCAGCTGATCAAAGGCATACTCAAAGCCGGCCTTGTAGCCTGTGGTGCCCTTGGCCACCATGCCCTGCACAGCTTCCTTGAACACCTTCTTGTTACGCACATTGGCCTGCACCAGGTGTGTGAAGCAAGACACAGGCTGCGCCTTCTCGTTGAACTGTGGGGACAGTGGGGTGGTGAGTGGCCTCAGGCTGGCCATGGCAAATAGCTGCTGTATGGGTCTGATGGCTTTCATGGGAACAAGGTGGGTGGGGGTGAATATTTCCCAGCCTGCCTGCCACCTTGGCACTCACTGAGGCCACATTCACATAGTCATCATCAGAGAGCGTGTCCAGCATCTCACAGACGGATGTCTTCATCAGCTTCAGGGTCAGGCCGCTCACGCTGCCACTCCTGGAGAAGTCAGGCAGGGACCATATGTGTTAAGGGGTTTCAGATTTCTCCTGTCTTTCCCTCATGGTGTTCCCAGGCAGCAGAGTCCAGCCCTAGTCCCATCTCAGTCCCGCCAGCCTGCAATGCTCACTCACACATCCACAATGATGACCATGTCCTTGGGCGATGAGGCCCCCTGTATATACCTGCCAGTGAGAAGACTCAGTTAGGACCAACACCCGTGGGACCTGTGGGTTCTTCCTTCCTCCACCCACATATCGATTCATGTGTTTCTATTGACCATACATTGCATGGGTCAGACAGGGTCTGGGCACTGGGGAGATCATGCTCAATAAAACAGACAATCTCTTCTCATGACATGAATGATCTGGTCCCTCATCAAGTAAACAAGAGGTGGTGTGAGCAGGTGATCCATAGAGGGGGCAGGAGGCAGTGGCTAGCTTCAGTGGCTTCTTGTGTCCTCTGCCCCTGGTAGAGGCCCCACAGGAAGTCTGGCTGTGTATGGATGGGGCAAAGAAGGAGGGTCATGGAGTAGTGTGGGAGAGGTAGAGTAGAGGGTAGGAGTGTCTAGAGCTCAGATGGGTGGGGCAGGGTTGTCCCACCCAGCAGAGGCTATATCTACTCTTGGGAGCACACTCACTGGTCTGATCTCTCAGTTCTGAGTGGGTGGGGGAACTGGGTGGTGGACGGTGTATGTGGGGGCAGAGGCAGCTGGGAGGCCTGCCTGGGTGATGGGATCCATTTTCCAGTGGCAACGATGTGTGAAATGAAAATTGGATAGAGCTGGCTGCACCCTGTTCGGAGGTCTGGATATTGGGAGGGAGGGGAGCAGGCAGGAGAGATGGGGAGCTGAGGGGGTGTTTCCGATCAGCCCCTCCTTTTCTTACTCACCAGGGTCTTCTTCGGACGTCATACAGGTCAATCTTCTTGGGGGCTCGCCATGGGGTAGCTGTGGAAGGAGAGAGGGTAAAGGGGATTGGCAGAGAAGGGCTTGACTGAGGCAGACAGGACTTGAAGGAATGGCTGACTACTGTACCTCATGTCCCTCAGGATGGTTGGGATAGGAGATGGAGCAAGGTGGGTGCTGCGTGGGCAAGGGAGACAGGCTAGCACCTACCTGGATAGTATCGGGTGACTCCCGTAGCGCTGCCAAAGACTTGCCATAATAGTGTAGGGTCTTGCCTGCGATTCTCGATGAACACATTCTCCAGGGCCTCTGTCCAGTTAAGCTCATTGAGGATGATGGTGGCTGGAGGGCAGGGCAGAAGGCTGGGGTGGGGAGCTCTGGGTTGTCCTCTGCTAAATCCACTTCCATGACATTCATGCCCAAGTCTCCAAGGCTTCCCATACTTTCTGCCAGCCCAGACTTTGCTTATCCAGGGCCCCATGTGGGGCCTCATCAGCTCCCCCCAGGAAGACTTTCTGATCCTCACCCCTCCAAACCATCAAAGGAGCCTCTCAGCCTCCCCCTCAGCCAGGCCTCAATGAGCAAGCAGGGCTGATGTGGCCTGTGGCCCGTGAAGGAGGGCCTCCCAGGTGGCAGGGAACTGTGAGCTGGGCCCCAATCCAGCATGCTGCTTGGAGCCTGCGGCTGGTCCCCAGGGAGCTCACCCACTCAGCATGCACTCCAGGCCGCAGCCACAAGAAAGCAATTAAGGGCCCGCTGATGGGGCTGGAATTATTCAGCTATTAAGGTACCTGATAAGCTGGAAGCCACTCAGCTCCATGATTAATCAACTGGGGCCAGGAGCAGGCAGGGGCAGAGGTGGGGGCTGTGGAGGGGCAGGGGCGTTGCCAGGATCCTGCTCTGACACTGGTGCATGCACTTGCACACACATGCGCACACACATACAGCCTGCACCCTCAGCAGGTTGTTCGTTGTACCTCTAACTTCTGTGTTTCCAGCCAAAAGTAGGACCCCTCATTCTGAAATCTACCTGCCCTTGAAGTGCAATTTAGGGCATGGGCTCACGCCTACAGGAGCTCACAGGTGATTCCTTGCTGCCACACCCTGCTGCCATCAGTTACCCTCACCTTCCATTCCCCAACCCTTATAGTTGCACATAGTGATCCCTGTCCTCAACAGACTCCTCTCTCCCCACTCTACATGCTTACAGAGCAAGGCTGCTCTCTACTCTGCTGACCAACCTGGGCAGCATTCTTGCTCCATAACTCAGTGCATTCCTAAGTCTGCCTCGTGTGTGTGTGTGTGTGTGTGTGTGTGTGTGTGTGTGTGTGTGTGTGTGTGTGTGTGTGTGTGTGTGTGTGTGTGAGACATGTTTTCATGTGCTCAGTATATCAGTCTCTGAACAGAAAAACAAAACAAAACAAAAAGGAACAAGACACTTGCTTCTGCCAGGTCTCTGTGCCTCAGTTTTTCTCTCTGGTTTCTGCCTTTCTTTCCAGGTGGAGCTTTGACACTTATACCCTCCATGTTCTCTGTCAAAGATCATCTCAAGTGAGAGCCAGAGAAGGCCTTCCAAAGGCTCTATTCTTGAGAATGGATGAGTCAAGATTTACCATCTTTCAAGGCTCTACCTGTAGCCTGGGGGCCTGACACACCCTAGTCCATCCCTCTGCTCTTCCTTTGTATGTGGGCTCTGCTGTGCCCCTTGAAGTGCAGCTCCTTCCTGTTTGATTTCATCTCCCTCTCAGTCCCTGTGGCTCAAACTGACCACAATGCAAAAACAAAACCTATCTCTACCATTGGCTCTGCCTATTTGATAATATGTTATGGTCTTGTTTCTGATTTAGAAGCTTCGTGAGTAGAACAATTTCTATTTTTTTTTCTTTAAAGAAAAAGATGAAGTCCTTAAATGTTTCACACAATACTATTTGCCTTTTGAGTTTGCCTGGCCTGCCTGCCCCTCACTGGTCTGCACTCATATGAGAAACTTGGAGCAAACCATCCTGGAAGACCCTCTGGCTGCCAGCAGAGGAGTGACTCCTGCTCCAGGTGGGCTGTCCCTCAGGTATCTGTAACCACACAGCTGCAGGATACATTGATGCAAACATTCCCACATCTGAAAGGATCCATCACTCTGCCTCAAGCACACACACCTACACCACACCCACATGTACACACTCTCAGATCACTCTGAGTTGGGAAATGGGGACCATGCCCCCTCAGGCAGGTGATTACAGATTTAATTAAAAGTGACACAGTAAATAAAAAACATATAAAATGTAATTTGTGTGGGTAGCGAGGAGTGACTGGGGAGGGCGGTGTGGCTCCTGTTTTAATTAGTGTGCCTGCCTGTGATAGTGCCCCTCGACTGGCTCAGGCAGGTGGCTGGGGGGCAGCCTATCGGAGGGGGCAGCATTCTCTTCACCCCCTTTGAGGTCACCCGGAAGACTTAGTTGACTCCGAAGGTGACAGGGTCTTCCCTGAGGATCCTGGGATTCCTTGATTTCTGGAACCTATGACACAACTCTGCCACCTTTGCCCCAAGATCCAGACCAGCACCTGAGTGGCCTATAGGTGCCCACATGGTTGTTTCAGAGCCAATAGACCCTAGTGCCTTTAATCTGGCTGCTGGAGCTCCCCTTCTGGTGTTGGGCTTTTGGATTCTTCTCTCTATACCTCTCCAAATCCTCAGGAAGTTCCTCAAGCCCAACAAATTCTTCTAGCTGTAGTGACCTCCTTTTCCCATTGTGCAAAGCTGCCCTGACCTTGGAGCTTGGAATCTCAGCCACTTCTTCCTAGTCCCCCTTCCCACACCCTCCAGGCTGGAAACTATCTTCCACTCCCTCAGCTCTGTACCAAGAAGCAGAGTAGGATAATCAGGTCTGTGTCTATGGCAGGTGTGGTTTACTGTCCCTTAACCTCTGTGTCCACCTGGTATGTGGCAGCTTCTCAGCCACCCCTAATGGGGCCAGGAATGGGGGAGGAACTCAGCCCAGCAGTAGGAAGCAATATATGTGTGCATGTATGTGTGGGATGTGTATACACACACAGCTTTAAGACCATGCTAATTAAGGTGATATGCTACATTTCAAGTTCTGCTGAGAGTGACTGAAGGCCTATGCATAGGTAAGCTTGAGAAATGAGCATGTGTGACCTTGGGTGCATGGGGCTGGCTGGAAGTAGATAGCACTAGCTTTCCATCCCAAGAGACCTGGGAATGCTTGAGCAGTGTGCTTTTGCCCAATTTGGGTGGGAAGGGCTGTTCACATCACTCTCACACTCACAGCCTTTGTAGATGTCCGTGGGGATCTGTACAGCTGTGTATGAATAGTTGACCTTGTTCTTGAAGTTTGGGTCCTCCATGAAGTCCAGCCTCAGGGTGCTGGTTTTGGATCCTCTTTCCACATCCTCACTCTCTGGGTCATCCTGCAGAAAGCACCACCCAACATGTCAGGGCTGGGAAATGGTGAGTGGGTTGGTTAGGCCTGCAGGTGAGGATGGGAGGGCATCTCAAGAGGTTATTGTAGTCAGAAACAGAGGGACAGATGGAGAGACACAGGAACATGTGGACATAGTGTATGAACCCCTCACCCAAAAGGTTTGTGACTCTACATGCCCTTGCCCAATCCCATTCATCCATTTCCCAAACCCCAACTAAAACCAAAACCAAACTGATCTCTTCCTCACATCCTTGAAAGTCAATTGTCAGTGAAGGAGGCAAATAGTAGAGCCAGTTACGAGTGGGCTGCAGACTTCTGCTTTCAAGGACACACCTTGTACAATTACTGAGGCCTCCACAGCCCCGCCTAGCAGTTCTGCACCCCCACACTCTCCACTGAGCCCCACCCATACCCTGCATGGAGGTTCCTTTGGCTACTCCACTCTTGATTTCCATGTTATGTGGGCACAGAACCTGTTATTGGCCTCTGGACAAGATCTGAGAGCACATCTAGCCAAGGGTCAGATACTAATACCAGCAATGACCCAATGCATAGAAGCCAATACCATGGAGCCAGATGAGAGAGAGAGAGAGAGAGAGAGAGAGAGAGAGAGAGAGAGAGAGAGAGCCCCAGCCGAGTACCACCCCTGCAGCAGAGTAGTTCTAGAGCTGAGTGTGTGTGGAGCGAGGGGGCAGACCTGGGGAGAGCTGGGCTGGGTGGGGGCTAGGATGGAGATCCAATGACCTACAGAGGGAGGGTCTGCAGTGCCTGCTCGCAGCAGGACTGTAAAGGCCCCTGTTGATTTTCTAAAACAAGCCGCAGCCGCCTGACAGGTGCCAATTACAGCATCTCTCGGCCAGGCAGGCTGGGCATGCGCTGTGCACCCCCGCCCACAACCACAGACTGGCAGGAATGGGGCTGTGACTAGAGTTGATGCTGTAGCTGATGGGGGATCAGGTTCCAATGCAGGTGTGTAAGCAGGGAGGGAAGATGGTGGAGTTATAGGGGAAGAAAAAGCCAGACAGGGGGGTAAAGAGACATGTAGAACTCTCCACACACTCCCGATCCTCAGACCCCTACCCAAGACACTTGTGGCCACCCTCATCTCAGGCTCCCCTTATCCCTTCTTCCCAATGGGTCTCTGGGATTGCTTCCTTGATGCACCCTGTGGCCTAGACATACCCCTTCCATTGTGTTCCAACCTCTAGGTTTCTGTCCAGATTGTCCTTTCCATCCCATTCACAGTTCTGAAGTGTCCTGTGCCAGTTCCCTTTCCATCTTTACAGAGTAGGTTTTGGACAATGAAATCCAGGCTATCTGTTGCCCTTCCATGCCCCTTATCAGGTATACCACCTCTTGTCTTCTCTGGGAGGACCCTGAGAATTCCCTGGGTACTGGGTAAAGCCAGAGCAGGCAGTGGCTGAACATCCAACCCAGAGCAGGAAGCCAGCAGCTCGGGAGGTATGTGCTATGCATGCTCCACTCAGAGGGGGAGGTGCAGAAGAAAGCCCCCCAAATGTCAGCGGCAGATGAAGGGGTGCTGGAAAATTTAATCTTCTAACTTTCCCAACTAATGTGACATTTGGATTCCATTCTGATAAGCTATCAGCTGGCGAACTTTTTCCTTCTCTTCCCCCGACCCCCACCTTCTGGCTGGTAATTTAAAAGTAAATGGTGTAGAAAGATCTCTAACTGTACCTCTGGCAAAGATTTAAAAAAAAACAAAAACAAACCCAAAACAACACAACAAGCAGGGGACTTGGCAAATGTGTTTTTGCTGTTATTTATACCAGGCCTGGGGTTTTCTGGCCTCACTGACCCCAGTCCAATCCTGCCTAGTGCAATGCTTCTTCACTGGTCGGTCCCAATACCCTTGCAGGGGCTGGGGCCGGAGAGTCAGGGATTTAAAGCCAGCCTTGGGGTCCTGGATAGAGTTGGGTTGCTGGGAGCAGGCAGTAGTATCCTGGTCAGGAGTTGGGCACCAGGCTAGCCAGGGAGTCTCTCAGTGCCACCCTGAGACCAGGGGCTCTGTGCAGTGGGCAACTGCAGTCTCCTGGTTTATATTTAATGCACTGATTGCTAAAATTACAGCCCGCTGCCAAGAGGGGTAAGGAATTAGATTCAGGGTCTAATTAAAGGTTCGCTCTTCATTTGAATTTCAGATTCCAGCTTTAATTTTAGCAACTTCTTTGGGAGCCACGGATCTCAGCCAAGGGGAAGCACACCTGCTTGAGCCCACCCCTTCCTTCTCGACCCCGTACCCTCCCTAGGGCTTCCTAGGCCAACCTGGCACCATGGCCTCCCTCACAGGTATCCCTTCCAGCCTTCCCAGCTCCTGATATCACAGGCTACATTTTCTCAAGCCAGGCCTACAGGACTGAAAGGAATGCTGGATCTTGGATCTTCTGTATAGCAAGCATAGGTGGGTTCCAGATAGTATGCCACTGTGACTCTGTTTACAGAGGGGACAGTTGGATTCAACAACTTTGCTTGGCATTAGAGGACTTAGGCCATGACAAACTCAACGAACATCATCTACTTTCAAGTGCCTGCACCCAAAGATACTCTTGTTTTCTCTGTAGCCTCCCATCACCCCATGGTCATACATCTTTCACTTAGTCCTCTTGTGATGGGGACCTTACTACCTTACAAGGGAGCTCCAAAAGACCTGAGCTCATGAGACATGGAGACAGAGGGCCCGATGTCATCACTTCTGAGAGGTAGCCCTAGCTGAGCAGAGCCTCATTTGAGAACCAACAGGAACCAGGCTACCTCTGTGTCTGAGGCCACTGAGTGATGTAGGGCCATGTGCTGACGGTGAGGCCAGGCACTGGGTCTTCTCCACAGTGTGATGCTGAGTCCTTTACATCACAGGGAAGGGAGCCTGCACTGGCTTGGGGAGGTACCTAGATGTCACCATGTCTCACTCCCACATGCCCACCTCCAGGAAGCCTCTCTCCACTGTTCCCTTTCCCTTTTACTCTCAAGATACTCAGAAAGCCCCTCACCATGCTGGGACTGAATTGTCTCAGGAGGAAGGCCAATGCCTCACCATCCTGCCCAGGAGGGAAGACCCAACCTGCTCCACACTGCAGGGAAGCTCAGCCCATAGTGGCAATAGAGACACAGCCCTGGACGGTCAAGGACTTTTAGGGAGTTGTGGGAGTGGGGGTCTGAAGTACCACAATTCTGCAGGGTGCTGATTTCTAACATCTACTTTATAGCAGAAACCACTGAGGATCAGAAGACGAGGAAGCTTCCTGTCCCTTACAGTAAAGGTGGGACACTTACCAGCTCTGCATCGGCTTTGGCATCATAGTACATGATGTCTTCTTCCTGGTGAGGGGAGAGAAGCCTCAGTAGTCTTAGCTCAGGGGGTCCCAAGATGCAGCCTGAACCCTCAGGTCCAAGGCCTAGAACAGCCCTTTTAATTAGGATGGAGACTGTCCCCTCCTCTACCCAGAGCCACCCACAGAAAAAGTAGGATGAGTCAGTGCTGGTGGAACACCCTCTCCCATCCCCAGGCCTGCCTTTAGCTTGTTCACAAGCTCTAGAAGGACGCAGCACCTCAGGTTCCCCTGACCAGGGACCAAGGTTCTGCCCTGCAGACCAGCTGAAAGCAGGGTCAGAGCCAGCCTGACTCCTGAGGAGACACTGGCTGAGGCAGGACCAGGGAATGAGGAAGATAGAAAATCAGAGCCAAGCCTGGGCAACAGCAAAATAATGACTTCACACTGCATCTTCCAATTTCTTCTATTAAAAAGCCTGCTCATTACGGGCATGTACTTATTAATTATCTGTGATTTGTTGTGAAATGCAAAGGGGTTTACACAACAGGAGCAGGAGAAAACAAAGCTAGGCCCACATGCCTGTCTGTGGCCCTCACTCACATGTGCCCTCCCGCCCATGCCTGCCTGCCTGCTGCCTGGGTTCTTGGCCATCTGTGTGTCATAATCACCCGCCGCCCCGGGGACCCGTAACACAAACGGGCTAATTTCATGTTTAATGATTTTTAATCAGAACCAAGTGCAGCTGACAGAGGCCGCCAGAAGGTGATCCTGGTGTCAGTAAGTGCCACTTGCTCAGAAGGGGCCACCCCACATGCCCTGCTGGGCTCTAGGGCCAGGGCCACTATTCAAGTCACCCTCCCCAGGTGCTCCTCAGATCTGTTTTGTACAGCAAAATCCCTCAGTGTGGCCCTAGTGGTTTGTTACACACTTGGGGCTCTTTCTTTGTAGCCTGAGGAATGGTGACCAGATCTACTCTTGAGGACCTGTCAGCAATGCAGCAGACACAGAGCCAACAGTCACTCCATGAGGGGTAGACGCCACATAGGCCACCCTGCCCAAGGCCTGGTTGGGGCCCACTTGCTATATGACTTTAGGGCTGGACCATTCCTTCTCTGAGCCTCAGGCTCCTCATGCCTCTAGGGGAGGCCTTGGCCTTGGTGACTACCCAAGTGCTGGGACTGTGGCCAGTGGTTACAGATGGTCAATACTGGGGAATGTTTGAGGGTGATAGTTCCAGGCTGTCTTCCACTAGGGATTCTAAGGTATAGGCCATCAGTTGGACATGGTGACTTAATTCAAGATTTCTGGAACAGTGTCTGCATGCCTGGCACCTTGCTTGGACATGAACACAAATGTTGGGCCAAAAGGCAGCTGGAGAGTCTGTGCCTGCTGGTAACCCAAACATGCAGAGACATCAGGGCAAGGACAAAGAAGTCCACAGCCTTCAGCTCCTGCCTTCCCAACTCGGACCTCATCCAAGTCTGCTACACACCCACCCATCCAGGAAGACAGGCCTGGGAGGGGTTGGGGGCTGGGGCAAGGCCCAGACTCCAGGGGTTCAGCCTTTCCCTATGCCTGACTCAGACAGAAGCACATAATGAAAGCTGACATTACATCAAACACAATAAGGAGTTTTGGTTGATGAAGATCATTCCTGAACACACAAACCCATTAAACTGAGGGGAAAAAAATATCAATTCAACACACTCGCAGGCGAAAAGAAAATGTGATTTGTTATCTAAAAGGGGGTTATAAACACGGCTCTGATGCGCTCTCCTTCCATAACGAAAGCAGGCGGGTGCGGTAGAGGACTGCAGATTACAACCTGGGGCCTCACTTGCCAACTTTTTAGGCAAACCTTCTGCAGGAACTGCAAAGGGTGTGGGTCGGGGGCTGGTCACTCTGAGGCCTCCAGCAGCCCCAGGATCCTCTCTCAGGCTTTGGAGGGGGCCTGTCTGTGCCTTGGTCATCCCTGAGAGATACCCTGGCACTCACTTGGGCCACCTCCTCATCTGCTTCCATGGTTGTTGCTCTACTTGTCCTGCTGTTTCACAGTCCCTGGATAATCTGGTGTTGGTGTCATCAAGGACAAAGAGAAAATGGCATATAGGATTGCCAGGTTCCTGTAGACCACAGGTGAGGTCCAGGGATCTATAGGCTTCCTTGCCCCCAGATTTGGAGGCATGTGGGCAATACTCCTCCCATTGTTCCTGCCCCCCTCTTCCCTTTGGTAGAGAGGAAGGAACATGGGCTGGTAGCCTGAACAAGGTCACATATGAAAATGCAGGGTAAACACAGCTATGATTGCTTTGCACCATGCCATGTGGAGCTTAGGTGTGGTAGGATGGGCCGTTGTGTGTGTGTGTGTGTGTGTGTGTGTGTGTGTGTGTGTGTGTGTGTAGGTTCCTGGGAAGGCCTGTAACTGCTTTGACCTACACTGTGCCAATGTTGGCCTTAGTGATTCACTTCCTGAGTTAAGTAACAAGGAGTAAGTGGGTGATGGTTCACATTTTGACCAGGACCTTGGTGGATGCTCAGCAGTGTGTGAATAAAGGCTGAGTCTCCAAGGCTCCAGCCCTACAGGATTGTCCAAGTATCTGTATGAGATGCTCAGGGGCCATCCCCATATCAATAAGGTGAGGATTTCCAGTAAGAGCATGAAGCCTTAATGAGTTTTGCATCCAAGTCTCCAGCACCCACTATAAAATCTAGATATGATTCTACTTCTTGAAGGTATAAAGAGGACAGGGAACTGCAGAGTTGGACCTCTCCAGGGGAGCCAACCCAACAGCCCACAGGAGAGACTCAGTATGGAAAAGACTCCTTGAATGGCATGAAATGGGTGTCCTCAGTGTTGAATGTTGTCCCACTGACCCTTCACTGTTCCCTGATATTTCACAGGCTGTTTCTTTTACGCTTGGTAAAGAATCTCCTTCCCAGTTCACACACATGACCCACAACATGAACCTATATACATAGGTGGCAGATAAGGAGTGGGACTCAGTGTGCATATCAATGTATGGCATATCTGCTCCTTAGTAGGAAACTAAGCCTGAGAGGACATGAAAGATGTTCACAGTTGTGGAGCAGGGTAGGGGAGAGATTGGAATGAGTGGGGCATAGGATTGTCATCCAGATTCAGTGTCCTGAAAGGCAGCTGCTAAGGCTGCCCAGACATGACTACTACCTACCCACTAGCCCCCTCTGCAGAGTCTAGGCAGCCAGGCCATACCAGTAAGGTCGTGTGGCCTTCCTTCTTTGGATCACTGCCAACTAGGCTCAGCCAAGAGAACTGTTTTCTGAAAGCCGTCTGCTGCTGGCTTGGCAGAAGCAGGCAGCAGGCCCTATGGCTGGGTTGGACCCTCAGACTAGGGAGGCCACTTGTCCTGTGCTCCCAGATTTTCAGGTCTGGTCCTGCCTTCACAGCTCTCCCTCTGGATTCCCTAGGCAGAGTTACCTCTCCCATCAGACTCCCCAGGGTAGGCCTGTTGCCTCCATCAGACTCTCAAAGCATGTTTTATTTCCTCCTGAGGATTCTGGGATCAATGGCCTGTCATTTATCCTCCACCTATGCCCTGGCCCAGATCCTCCCTGGGGGTGGTTTACGTGGCACACAATGCTGGCATGGTGTTGTGTTGGCACCAGACATGGTTCAGCAGGTGGCCCATCTTCATCTACTCTAAGTGATATGGGCATCAGGGCACCTGCTGCCTATGTGTGGAGCCACAGGAAATGCTGCCTTTAAATCAAGGCCATGGTCTCTCTAGTATTCCCAGGTCTGGGCTGGCCAGGACTGTGGCTATAGGTTCCTTGACCCTGCCAATGGTCAAGTGTATACAGAGTGACTAAAGAATGGACTTTATCTCTTCTACTCACATTGGCCCTTGATGGTGGCTCACCTCTGATCCTGTGGACTCAGGGATTCCCTAAGTCCCTGGCTGCTGTAATGGGGTTGTGTGTATGTATGTAGATATACAATGGCTGTCTGTTCCCTGCTCTGAGCTGTCCATACCAGGACATCTATACCCTACTGGCTGTGCAGTGAATTCCAGTGTGGTTTCATGAGCCAAATATCCAGTTCTGTGCCCAGAACTTCAGGATGCCATTTTCCCTACTCAGTGATAAGAAGGCAATTCCTGATCACTTTGCCACCAGAGCACTAGGCTGGGCACAGGGACAGGTGATGAATGGCACTGACATAGGCCTCACTGCTTCTGGTCTGAAGGAGCCATGAGTGAGGCAGACAGATGAAGTACTTGCTTGGATACTGTCTGTGACCAAGGTTCAAAATGGGGTGCTGTGAGCAGTGGGGGGGGGCAACCCTAAGGTTGGGGCTGGAAAGGGCAATCCTGGGCTTTGTCCTTTGAATTAGGGGGTAAGAATGTTTCTGGGAGAAGGCCTGGCTTAGGAAAGAGCCTGAGTTTAAGGCTGGGATTGTGACATAGGCCACTCCTGAGCACGAGGACTTTTTGTCTGTCACCTTCTGAAGGTCATTGATTGAGAGGGATATATTTTCAGGGTGGGTTGTGTGCCTGCAGGGGACAAAACTACATCCTTTCTCCAGCCTCAGTCACTGTACACCCTGACATGGTCAGCTCCCATCAGCTTTCCCTGGCATCCTGGCAGTACTGGCTGGCGGGTGGGCTAATGGACCACCATTAGCACTAATGCTTTTCAGCCTGGCAGTCACAGTAGCAGCAGTTACCTGGGAACAGCAGTGACCCTGTAGCCTGGCAGAAGGAGATGACTATGGTCCCTTTACCTGAGAATTTCAGGCAGTGGGACTGACAAACAGACAGGCACATGATGGACTGGACAGGGGAGGACAGAAGGCACTGGGCAAACAAGGCAGGGCCCAGCTGGCTCTGTGTTCAGTGCTGCTTGTGACCACACCCACAGCTGTGGCATATCTGGTCAAACAGGAGGGTGGCAAGCCAGAGCCTGGCTTCAGCCCAGGGGAGTTGCATATAGGGCAGGTACGACCAGAGGTGTACCATGCGTCACTGACTTGGCAGCCCAGTGAGCAGAATGACCTCTTGGAGGCCATGCTGAGATGAAAGGCAACGCTAACACCAGCCAGCCTTTGCCAATGGAGAAAATGAGGCCCTTGCTTGTGTCCCACAGTGACTGTGACCCAGTGATAGAGGTATGGGTTTTTGAGCAGCATCTCTTAGTACCTTTGAGTGTCCTTGAGCTCTGGCACTCTTTTAGGCCTCCTAAGGGCCTACCCTGGCCCAGAGTAAGCACTTACTGCTTCAGGGAATTGGTGAGATCAATGGACCAGAGGCTTGGCAGGGCTGCACTGGGCAATATAGGGTTTTCTGTAGAACCAGGAAGAAACCAGGTTTGGAGTTGTGGTGGCTTTTCCCTTTCTGGGGCTTGGACTGGGAGGGAGGGAAAGCCAGCAGGAGGGCAAGCCTTCTTATGCTCTTATTTCTTGACTCCAATACCTGCTTTGTATGCCTGCCCATGGGAGAAAGGAAGAAACTGACGGTCAGGTATAAATGAGGAAACTGAGGAGAAGTGGAGGTTCTTGGGTGCTCAGATGGGATGATGGCCTGGGGAGAGAAAGTAGCTTCAGATGAGCTTGGCATCTGGAAGGAATGGAGGGGATTCCAGGCAGAGATCAGCAGAAGCAAAGGGGCAGGAAGGGGCCTCCAGAGAGGTGTTTGGTGTGGTAGAACATGAGAGAAGAATCCGAGAGGTAAGGCTAGTGAAGGATGCTAGAGTAGGCAGACTACAAGCCTGCTCACACTCAGGGCTGGGCTTTGCAGGTGGAACTGCCAAGCAGGGTTATCTGGAGGTGGCGGCATAGTCCAAGTGGTAAATGAGAGCCTGTGGCTGCTGTCAGTGTCTTTCTCCTTTGTTTCTCTCTCTATCTCTCTCTATTTGTCTCTTTCTCTTTCCTCTCATTTTTTATTTGTGTATGTGGCTGTGTGTGTATGTGTGTATGATGTATGTGGGTGTGTGTGCACATGCCACAGCATAGGTATGGAGGCCAGAGGACAACTTTATGGAATCAGTTCTTCCCTTCCATTTTTACATGGGTTCTGGGGAATCAAACTGAATAAGTGCCTTTACCTGCTGAGTCATCCCTCTACCCACCCCACCTCCTTGTTTCTTTTTTTTTTTTAATTTTTAAAAAATATTAAGGGCCGGGCATGGTGGTGCACACCTGTAGTCCCAGCACTTGGGAAGCAGAGGCAGGCGGATCTCTGTGAGTTCAAGGCCAGCCTGGTCTACATAGTGAGTTCCAGGACAGCTGGGGCTACAGGGAGACCCTGCTTCAAAAAGACCAAAAAAAAATTTAAAAAATATTTTATTATTTTTATTTTATGCGTATGAGTGTATTGCCTGCATGTATGTGAGTGCACCCATGTCGTGCAATGCCATGGAGGTCAGAAGAGGGCTTTGGATTCCCCTGGAACTAGAGTTGAGGACAGTTTGTAGCCACCATGTGGGTGCTGGGAATTAAACCTGGGCCCTCTGCAAGAGCAGTCAGTGCTCTTGACTGCTGAGCCATCTTTCCAGCCCTCCCCTCCTTGTTTCTTTTGAGACAAGGGTCTAATGTAGCCTAGGCTGTCCTCAAACTTGCTATGTAGTTGAGGCTGGCCTTAAGCTCCTGATCCTCCTGCTTCTACTTCCTGACTGCTGGATATAGGTATGTACCACTATGTCTAGCTCAGTAGACACTGGGTCATGTTGAAGTGGAGAGAGGAGAAGGATTAATTTCCAAGGTTTTAGGGAGAACAGTTGGTTTACAGAGTCACTACCTCACTTATTTGTTAATTTACAAAAAAATCATACTGGGCTAGGGGTGCGCTTCACTGTTAGAGTGCTTGCCTAGCATGCTGAAGCCTCTGGTTCCATCTGTAGTATGTGTGCATGTGCGCGTGCACATGCACACACACACACGAGGGGGGGGAGGGAGGGAGGGAGGGAGGGAGAGAGAGAGAGAGAGAGAGAGAGAGAGAGAGAGAGAACTCCATGCACCATGTAAAGTGAACATCTTGTACCCAGCACCCACCAAGTGGTGAAGGATGTCACTGTGTGGGCAAAGCAAGCTAGGACAGGGTGGTCTGGGGAGACAAAGCAGTGAGGACCAAGTTTTGGGGACTAGGTCACCAAATATGAACCCCTGGTGACAGATAGCAGATGTTAATCTCTGCTACCAATAGGTGATCTCATGTAAGTAGGGGTAACAACCCCACTTGCTTCCTGGGGAAAATGGGCCTAGAACAGCTTAGCTCAGAGCTGGAAGGAGGCAATATATGTCTCACCTCCATCCTATATCTTAATCCCTGGATTCTGGGGGCAGCTCTTGTTTTACTCTGTGTCCCTCCCTACGTTTCTCAAGATCACTAGGAATCATGGCCCAGTCTCAAGGAGCCCTGCCAGCTGGTCCCATTATTGAGGGTTCCATTACCCCCTAGTACTAGGGCTTCCCTGAGTCTTGGAATAGCCTTTCCCAAGCAGACAGTAGCCCAACAGGAGGGGTCAAGTGTATCTAATTCCAATCAGAGACTGACTAGTACAAGTGCCCTGCCTTCCCTTCCCCTCTGAGCCCTTTACATTCTGTACCCTGTACTCAGCTTCAAGGTATCTAAGCCCCTTCTGAGTTCATGGTGAAAGAGACTGTGGCAGGTCAGTCCGTCGGGCCTAGGCTGAGGGTCTCCTAGCAGGCTGCTTTTCAGGAATGGGAAGAGGACACATACAATGCCTTTTCCCAGGGTCTCTTCCGGGTCACAGCATTAAAAACCTCAGATGAGTCCTGAAGTCAAGAGGCTTCTATGACCCTCGGGCTCTCTAAGAATCATGGTACCTTCTTTGGAAGGGTCCACTTTAGCAAAGCTTGTCTACTCATCTCCTCTGGAGTGATGGGGGGCTCATATCTACATTGTAGGCCTTAACACTGGAGGAGAGCTGAAAGGCTGGACAAAGGCTCTGTCTTTACTCCATCAGTACCCCTCCAAGATGTCTGGGCAGCACAACTCCCTCCTTTGCATGACACCCTAGTTAAAGGTGGCATGACCCTGGGTGTTGGGAAGGTGGTGTCTTCATTTTTTTAAATTGCATTGATTGACTGGTGTGTGTGTGTGTGTGTGTGTGTGTGTGTGTGTGTGCGCGCACCCACACACACACACACATGCTCGAAGCATGGCATGAGTATGGAGGTCAGGGCACAACTTGTGGGTGTTAGTTCTCTCCTTCCACCAAGTAATCAAACTCAGGTTGTCAGGCTGGTAGCAAGCACCTTCACTTGGATGAGCCATCTTGCTGGCCTCCATCCATCTTGCTGGCCATAGCCCATGCTTTGTTCTTACCTTGATGTTGTCTTGCCAGTGGTGGGCTTTCTGGAAGTTCTCCGCAGCATCAGCCAGTCTCTGAGGGACACAGCACAGGATGGTCAGAGGTTGAGTCAGACTGCCTTGTTCCATGCCCATTCCAAAGCCTTCTCCATGCCCAGTACTCCTTAGGGCCAGGCTGACTTAAGACCTCCCTTTCCCTCATCCTATCAGATCCCCAGAAATTCCTCAGCCTAGATAGCACCCAGCTTGTCAAGAGGTTATCCTCCCTAGCCATGGCTGGGTTCTCACAGGAGACAAGAGTCCTGCATAGCCCGAGTGGGACTACCTGCATTCAGCCCTGCAGCCGTGTGCTAGAAGATAGCACAGACACTGACTGGCCAAGCCCCGGTGCCACTGTTTACCCTCTATAAGCTAGTGTCATCCTTCCCAGCTGAAGGTGAAATCCCACAAATTATTGTTTCATCATGCAACTTTGCCCTGGACCAGGCTCATCAGGACATGCCTACAGGCCACCTCTACTCACCTGGACTCACTGTCCTCGACCAGGCTTCCTGAGTCCTTTCCCACAAGGCTTCAAGCCTCCACCCACATAAGCCTGTCCTCTCCTTTGGTGTTTATTTCAGTGGCCTCTGATAATGAAGCCCAGGCCTGAGGGTAGAGTGCCCCTGAGGGCACAGCTTTGTACTTGTCCACACCATACCTGCCACTGTTCATGCCAAGCCTGCCCCTGACCAGAGACACAAATGTATCTGTTACTGCTTGAAATGTGTTTGCCATGGCAACATTATGAATCCTTTCTAGATAAGGATGCCCAGGCTTGGAACAGCGAGGAACTTGTCTTGGACACACAGTGAGTCTGGGTCAATCTGGAGCCCTAGCCCCGTCCTTACCACTGCATTCACTTTGCTTAGCCTATGAGGTCCAAAGACCACCCCTCATAGGGCCCACTGTGCCCAGTGTCACTAATCTTGGCCCTACCCACAGCATGAGTGGAGTACAGTCCTGATTCCAGGTCTTCAACTCAATTCTTGGTAGTCAGGACATCCCATCCCCATCTATCAGTCTAGGCTTGATGTGGCACATAGGCACAGAGGAGAGGGGCTAATAAAGCCTGACAGATGCCAGTTAGGGGAAAATGAGAGTCAAGATATGGGAGACCAGCTTTTCCTCCTTTGAAACATGGAATAGGGTTGCAGAGCAAGGAGGGACTCCCATGTGGAGTTGTGCCATCACTCTCCTGAGGTAAGATGTCACCCTTAGCAGTTAGAGGGGCTGTCAGAGTCACCCTCACTTCCACTGGCCTGATTCTCCTACCTCCTTAGCCGAGAGCACTGAGGAGGAGGGAGGAAGGCTATGAGACTTGGGTTCTGAGGTAGAGGGAGAAAGTACCTCTTGGTGTCAAAGCATGTCCCTTCAGAATTCTGGCCTCTCCTGACTTGGACCTCCTTTTCCTGTGCAGGCCTGATTCTCTGCCCAACTCTTTACTGTAGGGCCTGTTTAGGTAGGACTTCCACATTCAGTGTCCAGTAATCTAGCCTCATATTACTGAAGGATCACAGACTTCTTGACTCTACAAGGCCTCACATGTGCTGGCTCTAATCCTGGCTCTCCTGACACTTCCCAAGGATGACCTTCAGCCTACCTGAGCTGCCATGCCCCCTCCTGGAACAGACTTTCTTTTGTGTGTGTGCAGTAGTGTATGCATGTGTGGATGCATAAGTATAGGTGCATGTGGAGGGCAGAGATTGATGTTAGATGTCTTTCTCCATCACTATCCACTTTATTTACAGAGGTAGGGGCTCTTGCTGAACCCAGAACTCACTAGCTAGGCAGCTTGTCTAAGGGAACCCCTGTCTTCACCTCCCAAGTGCTGGGAGGTTGCCATGCTGGAGGTTGCAGCTTTTCTGTGGGTTCCGGAGATCTGAACTCTGGTTCTTTATTCATTGAACTATCTCCTCAGCCCTGAAATAAACCCTCCAATCTTGGAACCTCTGCCTCCTGCTTTGCATCTTGTCATCACTCCAACTTCCTACCATTCAGGGGCTGTCCTGCCCCAGAAATCTCATTCCTTTGCATCCATTCCCCTCTCAATTCCTGGAGCCTTATCTCAGAGTGTAGATCTGATCATGTGACAGTCACCTGCCCCCAAGCTCTTCAGAAGCTCCCAAGCACTCTTCAAATAAAAGGTAAATCTTTCTTGAGGCTCTGTGGGCTCTCCTGTGTTCAATTCCAGTCCTTTCTTTTCTATCCTGGAGCTGCCTCTTGGCCTAAACCACAAACACCCTCTGGCCTGAACTCCCAGGATGGAGGTGAGACCCTTCTGTGGAAGAAATTATTACATATATGACATGTTAACTGGGGTCCTACTCTACACCAGGTATCAAGCTCTGCATACAAGCTGGAAGATCTGAAAAGCCCAGGGTGGCCCCTGAAGATACACCTCAAGGGGAGAGCCTTGGGCAATCACTACATCTCCCCTTCCCTTACCTAATGGGACCTGCTATGTTCCCAGGGTCCCCAGATTTACCACAGAGTGGGTCTGGATCCCACCTGGGGCTCTGCAGAGGTCATTATGACCTTTTATAAGGGCCAAGTCTGGGGCAGGGTAGGAACCAGATCAGAGCTCTTAGTACAGAAAAGCCAAAGGGTATATGGGGCTGCAGACACCAAACAGGACCATAGCCTTAAGGAATTTGTTCCCTTTTTCTCTCCTTTCATCCTTGGCTAGGTGGGTCAGCTCCTCTGTCCTCTCAGCTCTCAGCACACAGCTCTCACCCTGGGATTCGTGGGACCCAAGAATATGGGGCCCCTCAAGCTGAATAACAGCAGAGAAGGTGAGGGAGACCCAGGGAGTGAGGGCCCTAGACCTCCATCTCTTTAAGCTCATGGAGTCCCATGGGCTCAAAGGCCTGGGTCAGCCCGCTGACTCGTGAATAACGGAGTTGCAATAGCCACAGCGAAAGGATTACTTTTAATCCTCAGTAACGATCAAGCCATTATTATTTTTTCAGTGTTACAGATCAATCAGTCCATCCCCGGGCGCTGGACGTGTGGAAACTGCTAAATAGGTAGGCCTGGTGGTGAGGGAAGAGGGGCTAGGCAGTAGGGTGAAGTGAGCAGGCTGTGGCTATAGGAGGTCCCATCAGGCCTGAGGGTAAGAGGGTGAGTGGCTAGGGGACCACCCATGGTTCAAAGGGCTCTAAGTGGGGATCACAGTTGGAAGCCCTGGCCTGTTTCAAAGCAGCTTCTTTTGGTGGTAGCTTCACCTCTCTGGCCCTCAAGGTCTCGCTGTGAAGTCGAAGTAGTAATTGCATCCACACTGAGGCTCTTAGCAGACCTCTTCTCCAACCCCACTAGTTGTTCCTATGTACCCTGTCCATTGGGGTTTCTCTTGTAGGCTCTTGCCCACCTCTGGGCCTTTCTCACTTTTCTGCTTTTTCTGCCTGGTTAGCCTTATCGCTGTGTCACTTTCTCTGGAAGTTTCCTTTTGCCCTTGCCCTGCCTGTAGGCTTCCTTTTCTCTCTACTAGGTGGGGCATGTTCTCAGATGAGCTTAGCCCCACCTGCCTGGCCCAGGCTAGGTACTTAGAACCTTGAGATCTAGAGCCCACAACAATCAGGTCTGCTCTGGGGTGGTCAAGAGATCCTCACTTTTCCTTAAGGTTCACAATCCACCTCTGATGGGCCAGGGGCAGGCAAGATGGGGAACGGTGCTAGGAAACAGGTGGAGAGGTATGGGGAGAACTTAGCAGGCTGCCCTGGGCCAAGCTTGGGTAACAGTTTGGTCTTGTGTCTGGGGTGTTTGCTATGTGGGAGAGGTGTGCTTTGTTCCTAGCCTGGGCCCTGAGTGCCTGTTCCCCTGAGAGTGACTCCCTGCTCGGACTCTGGGCTCTGCTCTTGGACCAGTCTTAGTCCCTGGTCCTCTTGCTACCAGGCCCCTGTACATGCTGTTCTCTCTCTATTTACTTCTGTTTAGATTCCTCTAGCCTGATTCACTCCTTTACCTTTGATCAATCCCTGACCCCTGCCAGGCATCCACCTGTTTCCCTTATGACCCTCAGGGAATCTTCTATGTGTCTACCTGATCTCCAAGCTCAGCAGGGGCAGTGGCTAACTGCTATTGAGTTTAGAGTAACTTAGCTCCTGGCATACAGTGGGTGCATAATGAATGTCTGTAAAATCGAGGTCAGAGTCTCTCTGACTTACTTGTTCAGAGGTCTGGACTTGAGCCCAGCCCTGATCTGTCAGGTGTGTGAGCCCAGGTATGTGGTCTAGACTCTTAGAACCTCTTTTCCTCACTATATCCTGCAGGGTGAGGGATACTTAGGGAGATGCTGCTGCTGTGAGGTCACTGATGGTGCCTTACCTTACTTGTGATGTCCCCATCACGGTAAGCAGTGGAGGCAACCACTGTGGGATTCTGAGTAGGGCTGCTCACAGCCAAGTCCATCATGATAACAGCAGGCATTTCAGAGGCAATTATCAGAGAGTTTCACTTAACAATCAATTTCCTTCAGTTCTGGGAGCCATTCTTACAAGAAAAGGCAGGAAAGAAGAGGACTGGCAGTGTGCGGGGCTGGGGACAATACTCTCCTGGGGAGCAGGGCCTCTACAAGTCCCTTCAAATTTCACCAAGTTAAACATCTTTAGCTTCAGGGAACTGAGACAGACAACGGTGTGAGATAAGGGACCTGGACCATGGCCAACACCTGGAGGGTAAGGGTTCCTGCATGCTGAGCTGGGCTGGGCGTGGGTATAGTGGGGAGGCTAGAGCCCTCAGGCATGCCACTCTCTTAAAGAGCTTTCTTTCCACCTCCAGGCTGAGTGCTTCCTACTTCACCTTGCCTTTTCTATCCTTCTTCACTAGGGAGCTCTACCCTAAGGCTGGTGGCAGAGGGCCCTGGCAGCAAATGTCCATCAAATAAGAATTGTTCAACTGCACAGCCCAGAGGAAAAGAGTTTTAGGGTTTAATTAGTTATAGCTACTCCTGCTTTCAAGAGGGCATGAGAGGCTTAGAATGAAAGATGCTGAACTTATGGTGTGCAGGATGTTGAAATCTGGGGCACTGGGGTGGG